GACTTATGAACTGCATTTAAGTCCAGGTGCAATTTGTATTTGGACTTATAAACCTTAATTGACTTTGATTTTCTGGACTTATAATTTTCTGCGCACGATTTTTGTATCTGGACTTATAACCCAGCATCCTAGAAAAGATGCAACTAAAAGACTTATTAGCATCAATATTCAGTTGACTTAAGAATTACATAGAATTTTGTGAACTTTGTTAAGTCAATTTAAGGAAAATAATTTTTGCAAATTTAGCATGATTTCTGCAGATTTTTTGAAATTCTTCGATAAGTTTTAATTCTTAATGTCCTTACCTTGTAAATTTTATCCCTTTTGAGCACTTTAAAGAGCCTTAAACCACATTAAATATTTATTTAAAAGAACCTCAATTCAACTTTGAAAAATTAATTTAAAAAACGCAAGCCAACTTCAATCCAATTCACGTACTTTAGTAAAATGAGTAAAATTCAAATTTTTTACAAACGGTTTAAGTAAATTAATTGGAATTCAACATACTTGCGAATTATAATGAAATCAAAGATCCGCATTTGCAGTCTGAGAACTTCCAGTAATTAAAAATACAAGTTTAGATTTGAAGGAAATTAGTACGATAAATCTCGCGGTAGTAAAAATGTAAGCAGGTGATCTTAATGGTCTTGGAAATTCTCTCAGTTAATAATATTGTTACGATTTAATTATTAATATGACTCCGGCTAAGAGTCAAACGATTTCTATTTTAAGAAACTACACCGTAACTCATAGAATTATTCAAACGATTTTCTATTACGTCAATAAACACCATTGATAAACTGGATATTTGCAATGAACTTCATAAAATGCAAGGATAAAAATCTAGAATCGAGCAAAAAAAGCTTTGCGCCATAAAATGCAAATCAAAAGAGCCGATTCATTTGATTCAGGAGTGCCATTGAATTTCTAGTTTCCATGCAGATTTTGGTACCGGATGCTGTCGACAAAAGCAATCATAATTTAGAAAACTTATTATTTTTATACATAAAATCTACCATTTGCAATTCAATGGGCATTTTTTGTGATCATACGATATTTTATCGTTAACAGCAATAGAAAACCAAATTAAAAAAAATTGTCCCTTCTCAAACAATTTTATAAAAGAACTAAATCTCCATGAAGTCCCTTTTATATAAATTTTATGATGAGAACTTTTTTTCTAGAATTTTTCATTATTTTAAAAGGTTAATAAACTTTAACAATTCGTTATTTTCCGTCCTTGATAGTTGTTTTTATATATATTTTTTTATTAATAGTCATCCATCCATCCCTTTATGTGTACACACATGTGTATATCCATACAAAATTATACACGTTTTTCATTAATACATGTTTTATTGTTGACTAGAATAAAATTCATTCACATTCTTTGTATCTCAATAGTAATATTAAATTTGCATAACGCGAGGTCCTTTACCCTCAAAATTTTTTTAATTCTGTTCTTGTTTATTGACCTTGAATATCATGAAAAAGAATTCTAATTTTTTTTTATCGAGCGCATCTTCATGAGAATAATTTGTTTTTCATTGATGCTTTGTCCATGTTGTTGTGGATTTTAAATGCCAAAGGTTTGTTTTGGTTTTTAATTGACTTTTGTGGATAAAAATTGATAAAACTCGTAGTTTGAAAATTTAAATTAAAATGGACTTTAATTGTTTGAATATTTCGATGAAAATTTGAAGTTGGCATTGCTTTATTCAAGAAATAATTTCTCGGAAATGTCATTTTCTTTGAAAAATCAGAATTTTATTAGTTTAACTAGTTTTAAGGACGAATTAAAAGGTAAGTATTAATAATAAACACCTATTAAACAATAAAAAAGTAAATTTGAATTCTTAAATCTTCCTGATGTCAAAAAATTATAAATTTTAAATTATCCAAACATTTTTCATGCAAAAAAAGTTGTTGATTTTTGCAGCATCAACAAATCATAAATTCCATATATAATAACTTTTAAAAAATCAGTTGTACATTATTTATTGCAACCACAGATGCGTTGCAGCAGTTAAACCAAAGAAAAAGTGATTTTCCAACTCGCTTTTCTTTCGAGAAACTGAGATTTGAGTAGCTCTAAAGAAGTGTTTTTCTTTTTCTTGACATTTGGGATTCTTATCGTACATCGTTTACTATTCGTGAGAATTATAAATTATAGCATTAGCCGAATGAATGTGGTAAACAAATAGTATAATATCAATAAAAATATATCCGAAAACATTCTTTCTCGTTGTGCGACTTTTCTAGAACAAGAATTAAAAATTTAATATTACGATGCGCTATGTAATGCACATTTTTCTCGTGGAATATTTTTTTACGAAATGTTGATTAAACGTGCCAAAAGTTTGAAAACCACAAAATCATAAACAAATGCATTCTAGAATGAGTGTCATTAAACTTTAGAGATCGTCGAGGAAAAATAGCTAAACTATTTATAAATTAACGTGTCAAAATATTATCACTTGCATATTGTGATTGATACATCTGATTATAATCGGCGTTATTGAGGAGAGCAGAAGGTTCTTCGTGACGTTAATGAATGTGATGTTTTTTTAATTGTCAATAAAAATTGATTAAGTCATGTTAGATCATTTGTTCGAGTTAGCGACATTCATTGCCATTTGTAATCCTCATCAAGTTCACTAGGAAATTTGCTGATTTAAAGATAGGGAATAAATTTTAACGGTTATTGAAAAAAAAATTATAGTTTAGTTTTTAATATAAAATCCTTAACCCAAAAATCTCATGATTGTTTCTTAGATGAAAATTAAAATGTTGCAAAAAAAGTTGCATTTGTAAGCTGTTTAGAGAAAAATCAACTATTTCATCTAATCACAGCCGCATAGCAAAGTTTAACATTCGCCTAATGAACACTTCAAATCAATAATCTCGCGAGTCGGCTCCTGCTATTCCTATACAAATGTTGTTTTATACTCATTGAAGTTCATTGCACTTATCTTTTCACTTTTTTCCCGTGCTGACTTTGCACTTAACTACAGAATTTTTCACACAAATTTCCTTATCTGAAAGCTGACTAATTGTAAATAATAACAAATAGAGAAAAAAACAATCACAAATGCCTTAATAAAAAAGGTTATTCCAGATTAATAGCTTTAATTTTATTGAATTTATATTAATATTTTATACGTGAAAAACAAAAGTTTTAGAGAAATTTTCACAAGTTTTCTTGAAATTAGCAACCAAATCCTTATCTAACATATTTAAACCTTGACACTTTCCTATTTGACAAAGATCAACATTTCGCAATGCGTATTTTTTTGGCAGTTATTAACCTCGTAAAAGGGTAGAGTTACTGCTCAAACAACTTTTTAATTTTTTTTTTTTTGTGACTTTTGTAACAAACGCGAATGTAAGAGTTATGAAAATTACAATAGCTAATAGTCACGTGGATGAGATTTCACGAAAAGTCCATCATTGAATAATGCTAATGTCGGTTATTTTTTGCTATCGGATATCAAGTGTGAGTCAGCGAGTCAGCTGTTTTATGCAAAAAATATGGTATTGAGATGATTTTTTTTGCAAGGATTACAGCTTAGAGTCATGGAAGATGAGTCTATAAAGACAGATGCACAACACACCTCCAATAGAATCCAAAGCACAGCATTCCAATCAACAATGCCACCTCAAAATTAATTCCAACAAGAGAAACTCAAAATTAACTCACACTTAGCAACCAAAAAAAGGTATTTGAAATTCAAAAAAAACTTATAATCAATTAGTCATTTGGATATAAGACGACAATTCAACAATCTAAAAATTCAACGACCTCTCCCTCGATAGAAAGTCGCGACAGAAACGCTAAAAACTTTGGAAATCATAGCAAACATAAAACTAAAATTGCAACAGCTTCCCTCTCTAAACAGAAAAGGCTATACGCGTATATCTAAGCGATGAACAAAAAAAATATATTTCCACTTCACATCTTGTTGAATGGAACCGACATTACACAAAAAAAAAGATTGAAAGAAAAGAAAAAAAGAAGAAACGTGTTCAAAACTTTTTTTTTTATTTAATGCCGAATTTATGCGTATTCATAAAAAAAAGAAGTACGAATGCGTATATTATGTACAACGGGGCAGCAGAGTAACAGCAGAAATGAAAGAAAAAAGGTTGGTATATAAAAAAAAGTTAGAAATTGTTACGCACATTCAAGAAAAGAGTCCGAAAAAGAGTCAGTTGGCTTGATTGAGTCATTCATTCACGAGCTTAAGCATTTATTATCGTAAAGAATTTTTATTTTAGTAAGATTCTTAAGCAGATTATGTCTATATGGATATATTATGCAAGGACAATATCTTTGGATAGTTTACGATCATATAAATCAGAAAGCTTTCATGTTATATAGATATGTACATTTATAGCTATAAACTACACACATGTAGACATGTGAAAAGCTTCTTTTTTTGTAGGATCTCATATATTTCTCTGCCTCTCAACAGTCTCTCTTTATTAACTTTACAACCATCACACATACATGCAACAATGACCGAATGCGATATGTTCTCAATTTATCATTTACGATTGTTAAATTGAGATTTTCAGCACGAAAATGCAAAAGTTGAGTACGGAACATCACGAATTATTGAAATTACACAAAATTTCAGTAAATCCTCACGACGAATTCTCCAAAAGAGACATTAAAGACAAGTTTGCGCGCTTCACTGTAGTGCATTTTCATTCACTCGCATACACTTACATGAAGCCACGCTCTCTTTTGGCTCATTGAGTCTCCCCTCCTAATACAATTTTTTTTTGCTTTTATGCCGGCTATATAAAAACAGGACAACAAAGTCTTGACATAGTCATTAGTTTTTCGTATTTCACCGAGAAAAGTGTCTTAAGATTCTTAAAACACACACAAAAATATATATTTTTTTAAAAAAGACATTTTTTTGACTTTACACAAAAATAAAAATTTTTAAAAATAAAATTAAAATTTTGTGAATTTAAATGTGAATTAAAGAAAAAAATTTTTGTGAATGACAAGAAAGTGATAAAAATATTTAAAATTCTAAAGGCAACGATTTATGCCTAGAAAACATTCAAAAGACATATAAAAATAAACTTTGACAAAAATAAATTTAATTAAAATTTTTCAAAAATGTTACAAAATTCATATATTTTTAACATTCTTAAAAAAGAATTCGAGCATGATATACAAAAGTCATTACTAGTATTTTGTTGTGCACTGCTTGTGGTGTCGATCCTTCAATATATAGTAAAAAATATTTTGGAGATATCAAAACTACCTCCTGGCCCATTAGGCATTTGGCCATTTGGTATATTAAGATTTATAGGCCATGAGAAGCATAAGTCATTGATGAAATTGGCATCAACTTATGGTCCATTGTTCAGTTGCAAATTAGGACAGCAGTTGTATGTTGTGATAAGTGATTATAAAATGATTCGTGAGATTTTTAAAAAAGAGTCCATGACTGGAAGGCCAAAAACACCGCTTTATGAAGGTGAGACTGCAAAAAACAATTTTTTAAAAAAAATCAAAAAAAACTTATTTTTTTTTTATTTTCTTCTTTTTCCCCTCAAATATTTGATGATGATGATGTGCAGTGTTGAATGGAGCAGGTAAGACGAAGATTTTAATTTTTTTTTTTGAAAAATATATTATGTGTCTAAAGTGAGATGTGAATGATTAAGAGATATAAAAAAAGAAGAAATTTTTTTTCATTCAATCGTACCGGTAAAAAAACTAAGATACAAGTTTGTGTTTCTCTCGCTCACTCGCTACACTATTCTCCGCATAGTATACCTTTGAAATTGTTGTGTATATAAAAAAATACATCAAAAAATGCCCTCAATTTTACACACTTTTTTATTTGCAAGTCTTGAGAAGAAAATATATAAATTTTTATATATATAACTTTTATATATAAAAACTGTAGGTTACGAAATCTTTTCTTTCATTCAACATTAATGATATTTCTTCTCTCTTCAACGAATGTCTTAGTGGATCATTTTTGTTACTTCTCTTAAATCTTCATCGTTTGCACGCATCACTTTATGACCGAAATATATATAACATCTGAATGAATACAAAAGTCATTAACAAACATTTCTTATTTTTATTATTTTTGAAAAAACTAGGTGTGATAAATGCCGAAGGACTTTTATGGAAGGATCAGAGACGTTTCTTGCATGAAAAGTTGAGACGATTTGGAATGACACATTTCAGCAACAATAATAATAAGCTACAAAATATGATAACTGTAAGTTGATTTCTCTTTTGTTGTTTTTTAAAAAAATAAAAAAAATATCGGTTTTTAAAATTTGAAAATTTAACGGTATTTCAAAAAATTTGAATTTTGACAGTTTTTAGAAATTTGAACTTACATTAGATTCTTAATTTTGAAATTTTAAAAAATTATAAATTTATAAAAAATCCAACTTGAAAATAACGAATTTTTCTTATTTTCATCCCATCCAGAATGAGATAAGCGATCTTTTGAGTCATTTAAAGAACGAAACCAAAACACCACTCGATTTAGAGCCTTATTTTGCTGTGTCAGTTAGCAACGTTGTATGCAGTCTTCTCATGTCTGTTCGTTTCACTCGAGACGATCCAAAATTCATCAGATTCAATACAATGATTGAAGAAGGCATGCGATTATTTGGAAAGATTCAATTCAGTGATTACATACCAATGACAAAATATTTGCCAACATTTCAAGCCGCTAAAAGTCAAATTGCCGATAATCGCAAAGAGATGTTTGAATTTTATCGTGAAGTTATTGATGAGCACCGAAGGACATTCGATCGTAACAATATTCGTGATTTAGTTGATTTCTACTTGTTGGAGATTGAGATTGCAAAAGAAAGTGGCACTGAGGATCAACTCTTTAATGGACGTGAGCATGATGAGCAAATTATGCAAGTTATGGGCGACTTATTCTCAGCTGGCATGGAAACAATCAAGACAACACTCTTATGGTTGATTGTATTTATGTTACGTAATCCCAATGCCAAAAAGCAAGTTCAAGATGAATTAGATAGTGTCATCGGACGTCAACGTATGCCAAAATATTCAGACTTACAGTATTTACCTCACACCGAAAGTACAATTTATGAGGTATTGAGAATTTCTTCAATTGTGCCGCTTGCAACGACTCACTCACCTTTAATGTAAGTTTAAAACATTTCATTTATATACATGCGAATCTTATATATCACTAAATGCTAGTGCACATTTCTAATACACTCAAATATTCAAGGTTATTTTAAATTGAGCTTCGTATTTCTGTGCATGAAAAAAAAGATTTGTTTCCTTTGTATAGATTGCAATGTTATATCAAATAACTTACGTCAAGTTCTTGTTCTTAAACACTTATCTTTTTTTCACATGACTCATGACAATTGAGTTTTATATTTTGTTAATCCCCATGTAAAATTTGAAGATTTGCTTGGCAATTTATTGGTTGTTGGGTTGAGTTGCATGGGAATTATTTATCTTAAAGAACTTTTCGGATATTGTGGTTTAACTTTAAGGTTTTTGAGCTGAAGTGTTTAAATTTTCAATGTCAAAAACCGGTTATAAAATTTTTGGCACTTTAAGCTACCCAACAAAGGTTTTCAAAAATTTGAATTTTGACAAATGGTTTTGAAAATTTTGAATTTTCAAAACTGCTAATCCCCTGCAACTTGTTAAATTAATCCATCAGAAATAGCTAATGCTATAAAGTCTCGTCAACAGCCATACAAATTGAACGATAAGTCACAAAACACACAACAAATTACATAACGCAAAGAACATTTGCTAACAATGCACTGCAGTTCTAATCATGAAAACAAAAATCATTGACAAAAGCTTCCTATCTCATACAACTGACAATGTTTCTAAGCTATTTCAAATTCAATAGGTGCATGAAAGAAATAAATTTACACATTAATATGTATCGAACGTGCAATTTGCAACGCGCTAAATATATGTGCCTTTACTCTCATGACTTTTTTCTACTTTTTTTTTTATTATTTAAAGTCGTAACGAATTGTGCACATATAATTTTTTTTTTCTTCATCGTAAAGCTTTTATCGCTTTTTCTTCTTACGGCCGAGGGAAGTAACGGGAGTTTTTGTAAATATTCTTTCTTTGACATACAACGCAAAGATTCTTTTTTTTTTGTTCTTCGTATTCCTTCTTTTCTTATAATGAAGGAAAAACGTATATTCATGAAAAGAAAGAAAAGAAACTGGTCAGTGAAAGTGAAAGCACTTTTAAAGTCTGGATGAGGTTTTTGAACATAAAGAAGATATCATTGGGGCGTTGAACTCGTATCGAACATATGAGTTGTCGTTAGATTCTTTTTACCGCATTCTTATAGTCTAAAAACCTGTAATATGAATAATGAAATGCTAGTCGCAGTGCTCAACGACTTATTTGACTTTGAATATTTGTTGGAAATGAACCGAAAATTTTGTTCTTTTTTCGTTTGTTCGCGCATTTAATTCTTTTGTAGATGCACGTACACGTTCATTAATGACGTATTTTCTCTTCTCTTTCTTTGCAGTGATGAAGAATTGAATGGATTTAAAATACCGGCTGGTTCACATGTTGTACCACTCATTAATAGGTAAGCATTTACTTGATATTTGTTTTGGTTTGTTTGATTAAGTTCCTATCCCGTATGGCACATTGTACTAATATTTCGGCGTTGTTCTGGTTTGGCGCCAAATTATGGCTATTCCAATGCAATGTAGACCACAGGTGGGTTTTTATCACATTTGTGCCATTCGGGTTTAGTTGATTAAACGACTATAATGCTGAATTTATGATCAATTTATTTACAATGCAATTTCTTTATTTCCATTCAACAGCGTTCATATGGATCCAAAATTATGGGACAGTCCAAATGACTTCAATCCAACCCGCTTCATAAACGACGAAGGAAAAGTTCAAAAGCCTGAATATTTCATTCCATTTGGTGTTGGACGACGAATGTGCCTCGGCGATGTTCTCGCACGTATGGAATTATTCTTATTCTTCTCATCGATTATGCATTGTTTCGACATTGCACTGCCAAAAGGAAGTGAAGAGCCGAGTCTTAATGGTAATCCAGGTGTAACAATTCATCCAGACAATTTCATGGTATGCTTAAAAGAGCGACCATTAGATCCAATTACAACAGACGATCAAACTCCATTGAGGCCGTTCGGATCAAATTAAAAAAGCACAAATAAGCAAAGAGAAGAAAAATCACACAAAACATTCATATTTATGAAGTTCCTATGCTTCAGGAGCGCGGTTTTGCATACTTTAATCCCACAAGAATTCAACAAGTTTTATAAAAATTAATTAATACATTTGTTTTGTTAAGAATTAAGTCTTTGAAGCAAAAAACCGTATTGTAAGTCATAAAAACATTTACAAATTATTCTAAAGATGAAAAAACGTACAAATTTAAAATATTAAGACACCGCAAACCAAGTGAATATTTAAAATTGATCTCTCAATTTTCTATAAATTCCATCTTGGTTCATGCTTTACAATTACTATAATTATTATTTGTCTTATGATATTACTATAAAATGCTCTTGATAATTTTTCATTTCACCAAAAAGATAAAACAGAGCAACTGTCAATTTGTTTTAAAAATGTTATTGAAAGTCAGAATGCAAATTTTTCCCATACAAAAAAAGCTGTGATTTCGGATGTAAAAAATTCGAATTGAGAAATTATCAAGGTTAATCAAATTGAGAAAATTACAAACATATCGTCACGAGAATGAATTATCGAGATCTGAACAAAAATTGTAGTGATATTTGTGCATTTTATTATGAAAATGCACTCACAAGTCAATAATTTGTAAGTTCATTGTGGTTGTAGTAGAACTTGATATTAACTATTTGGAAAAATAATACAAAAGTCAAGGTACTAGAATATAGAATTCTATAAAATAAAAGTTTTGTCTCCAATGGAGTACTAGATAATAATATGACAGAATTAAAAGTACAAGAATAGCTTTGTCTCACAAATTATGACTTTAAAGATGTAGTAGATTGAATTGGATGGAAATCTGGTATTTAATTTTGTAATCTGGAACTAAGTTTTCAAAAATCTAGTCGTGATTTTTCAAAAACCTAGTACCAATTTGGACCAATTTTTTTGAAAACCTTTCAAACCTAGTACAATGATTTTCATTCAAAAATGTACTAGAATGTGAATTTGTTACAATTTCTTGTTTTTCCACAAAATGATCCGAAAAAAATAATAATTTTAAAAAATTACAATATTATTCTCAATCTTGATTAAAGTTTAGAATTTAAGGAAATTACAAAGATATTAAATCTCTCATGAATTAAAAATGAGAAGTCCAGAAGAGAGTGTAATTTTGAGGAGCCATAAAATAATTGAAAATGCAAAAAAGATTGCTTTCGATTTGCCTTTAAAATTTTAAAAGACAAAAAAAAACTTCTGATGAATCAGAAAATCAAAGTAAGAAAAAAAAGACAAGTCGCATCCACCTTTAAAATGTGTTCATTCATTATTTGTTTTAATTATTTTTCATTAATTCGTCTAATTTAAGTTTTTTTTCTGCATTAAAAAATATTTTTTCCTCTTAACTTTTACTGATTTAATTTAATGTATTTTTCTGTAATTATTTCATGCTGCTTTATAAGGAAAATCTGTATTCATGATTATAATGATAATTAATAAATAATTTTAAGTTAATAATAAAAAAAGTTTTTTGTTCAAAATATTAAAAAATTAAAATCGTAATTTCATTTGACATAATTCTTATTAATTACTTTATCTCATTTAATATTTCAGATTGCAAACTACATTTCAGAACACTATCCCGAGTGGACAAAGTACTAGTTAAAAGCTTGCCATTGACTTGCCTTTTCACGGCGAGTAAGTATCCATTGACGTGCCTTTGCAACTAGACTTAGGGACGACTAATGACATATTTTGCGCTTTCCATTTAACTGGACATAGGAATTGCAAATATGTCTAGTTAATGTCCAGTTACAAAAAAATCGAAATAAAATAAATAACACGTGTCTTTTTCTCCATATTTTTTTCTTTTGTAAAATTTTATTATTGTGTTAGTGTAATTAATTATTTAAAATACACTATCACTTATGAAAAATCTCTAGTAAAAATTGAGTCTCGAACACTTGCGCGTGAAACAATTATATTTACTTAAAAGTTTCATACAAATTTTGGTGGACCTTATATAAGTGATTTCTGTAAGCGCTTGTGAAGTATATGGTCAAAAAAGTAAGGAAAATTATTTTTGAGTTTCGAACACTTGATTGATTAGCATGAATGTCCAGTTAAAGTCTAGTTAACGTATAGTTCTCTATATCGTATATATTTCGACAAGTTAAAAGACTGTTAAATAATTGTCCAATAATGGACTTTAACTGGCTGTGTCCACCCGGGTATAAACTGCGAACGATTACAATTTTGTATCTTCGTCATTGGAGCTAATAAATACTTTTGTTCCTGTTTATAAAACTTTATTATATTCACACCGTTTTCACGTGTGAATCTATTGGTTTTGTTCAGATTGAAAAATCAGTTTTTCGCATTTTGTGAGAAAACAAAGCAAAATTGGTTATAAAAGGGCAAGAAGAAAAGTTTGTGCCTGAAATTTTACATCATTTTCAAAAAGCAGATTTCAAATTGGTTGTGGCATTGCTGAGAAAATCGCAAAATACGCTTTCTGTAAGCAAACAAGCAAGCAAGCAAGCAAGTTAATCAGCAAGAAATCTCAATAACGAGACATCGTAGAGACTTCTAGTTTTTTACATTTGATCCGTGCTGCTCTATAGAAGAGCTGTATTGTTTTTGGGCAAGGTAGGAACAGCCGTTGCTTCAGAAATGGCAAAAAACTTTCCTTTCTTACGAATTTTTTAAAACAAAAGTTGACTGTGATTTTTATAAAATTCAACTTTGGATGAAAATTTTTTTTAAAAAACTTTTAAAGAATATTTGGCATATTCGTCAAGCTTTATACCTTCAAACTTATGCTGAGCGTAGCTCAACTGACTCGATAGCTTTATATCTTCAAACTTATGCTGAGCGAAGCTCAGCTGCCTCTCTAGCTTCATATCTTCAAACTTATGCTGAGCGTAGCTCAGCTTACGCGATAGCTTTATAACTTCAACTTATGCTGAGCGAAGCTCCACTGCCTCTCTAGCTTCATATCTTCAAACTTATGCTGAGCGTAGCTCAGCTGACACTCTAGCTTTATATCTTCAAACTTATGCTGAGCGTAGCTCAGTTTACGCGATAGCTTTATAACTTCAAACTTATGCTGAGCGAAGCTCAGCTGCCTCTCTAGCTTCATATCTTCAAACTTATGCTGAGCGTAGCTCAGCTTACGCGATAGCTTTATAACTTCAAACTTATGCTGAGCGAAGCTCAGCTGCCTCTCTAGCTTCATATCTTCAAACTTATGCTGAGCGTAGCTCAGCTTACGCGATAGCTTTATAACTTCAAACTTATGCTGAGCGAAGCTCAGCTGCCTCTCTAGCTTCATATCTTCAAACTTATGCTGAGCGTAGCTCAGCTTACGCGATAGCTTTATAACTTCAAACTTATGCTGAGCGAAGCTTAGTTGACTTATCAAGCTTCATACCTTCATACTTATGATGGGCAAATCTTGGTCTATCCATAAGACTTATGATAGTACGGTGTGAATATAATCCGCATTGGGTTTCTACCCGATACACTAGTTTATATTTCTTTGTGTAAATATTTAAATTGTGTAGATTATATCAATATTTTGATTAGAACGCATTGATGTAATGATGAACTCATGGAATTTGCATGTCAACAAAGTTCCTTCACTTTTGCTGATTCAAAAGGTTCAATAGTTTTATTATTTATTGTTTTGATTTAAAGATGATGATAGGTAATTGAATTCTTACGATTCTTATTAATTTAATTCTTGATTCCAGAAAGTTGAGCAATACTCTCTGAGAAATGGATTTTTATTAAGTTTTATGGGTTTACTCGGGAATCTTTTGTTTGAATTACTTTAGCTAATAAACTAGGCTGAGGATCAAAGTTTCAAAAGAATAACTTTGAATCTTTCGTAAACAAATCATCAAATTTTGAAACAAGATCATTAGTTTTCAAATTCAAACATTACATTTTTGCTGGATCAAGCATCTAGAACTGATCAAAATGATCAAAACTGAAGAGAACTTTAACAGGATAAGCAATCTCTAACAAAATTCAGAAGGCAAATTCTGAACAAAAACTTTATTAAATAGCGCCAAGAAATTATTTTATCATCGATGAGAGAGTTCAGAACACTAGCACGCGCTACAGGCACTAAAAAATAAAAAATTCTCGTAAATGTAACGTAAAAAATGTCTGAATCATCCCAATTCAATGTCTTCTTCATTCTTTCCAGAATGTGATTTCACTTTTAAGATATTTATTTGAAATCGAAATTTGATTTAAAAAAAATAAAAACAGCAAAGCAAAAAAGCAATAACAAGAAAGAGACGGATGATTCACGATACTTAGAAAGAAATGAAGAGAAAAAAAGGGAAAAGAATCAGAAAGAAAAATAAAAATTATTTTTGGTCTTATTGGTTTGGCTACATGCGCGCACACATTTTTAGAATGCATGCAACATCTTCTTATCTTTAACCTTACCTCACTTCTTTTTCGTGCGAAATTCAAACAACCTTGGAATTTCCGTTCTCTCACAAAAAAAACAATAAAGAAGGCAATAAAATATAAAAAATTCGATGAATGTTGGTGGAAGGTTAACTGGAAATTGGGAAGTAAATTAATTGCCGGCGAACACATTTTTTACTTTATCACTGGAAGTGTAACTCTTCTGTTATTTTTTTGTTTGAAGAGCAAGGAAAATGTTTGAAGGATCAAGTCTGTTGAGCTGGAATGTCTTTGCTATTCGAGATGTAAAAATGTACGGATTGTGCCGATCCTTGACAACACTCAATCTATTCATTGAAAGTGAAGAATTATTTTCAGAAACTCGAACTGTTCCTTACAAGCTTATTTCGATTGTTTCTTAAGGAAAAGAGCTTTAGCTGATCAATAATTATTATTACTGCTGAATCTCTCTTCCATAGAGTCCTTATTTTTACCAGTTCTCTACTCCAATATCAAGTCATGCTTAAGCTACCCAACCAAATGTCAAGTAAGCACCAATCCGCTACATAAGACAATTCCAATCTTGATAGACATGTTTTGTGATTTCCCCAAGCATAAAAGTCAGTCGCATCATAAATTAAGTTTCATTTATCTACATGGCTATCTTTTAAGTCAGTTTTAGGTAAAAAGCAGTGAAAAGGTTTACAAATTTATTCAAAATTTATTTCATGACGGAAAGTCATGGGGGCTCGCCACCTAAAACAGCTATATGCACACGTATACTATCCAATTATCTAAAGCTGTTGATCAATAGTAAAGTAATTGAGCTTTTCGTAACATAAGCTGT